CAACGAGGACGAGGCCAAGTCCATTCCCTACTTCTTCGAGAAGTTCGATGCAGAGAACTACTCGATCTGGATCGGCGAGTACAAGTACAACGAGGAGCTGTCCAAGGTGTTCATGTCGTGCAATCTCATCACCGGCATGTTCCAGCGCCTGGACAAGATGCGCAAGGCGGCCTTCGCCTCCGTTTGCCTGTTCGGCGATGACGGCAACAGCACCATCTCCGGCATCTGGGTGTGGCGCGGACAGGATCTGGCCTTCACCCTCTCCCCCGACTGGCAGATCGACTACGAGGTGTACGACTGGAAGAAGCTCGACGCCAAGAGCGAGGAGACCAAGAAGCTGGTTACCCAGTACTTCTCCTGGACCGGCGCCGACAAGGACGGTCGCAAGTTCAACCAGGGCAAGATCTTCAAGTAATCACCTCTGGCCAGCTCCGCTCAAAGCAGCAGCCCTCATTTAGACCAGCAACAACAACAACAGCAGCAGTAACAATAAAGTTTGAGATTTAAAATGCAGGAAGAGCACGATGCCCATTTCTTGAGTATCAACTGATAAGTACCCTAAACGATATCCAATATCTGCCGTGCTGCCTCCCACGTTTGGCGGTATCGTGCGTCTCGCCTTCTGCATTTTGTACCGGAGAATTTGTTTGTAACCGCCTACGCATAGTACAGCATGATATTGTCAACGGAACAGCCGCCTGCAGCCAGAAAATATTTATAAAAAATAAAAGGTTTTCTATTACCAAAAGCGCGGTTTTCTTTAATATGCCTACGGTTTATGAGCTTAGTTTTAAGGGTTAGAGCGGGTATTCCCAAATTATTGGGGCTGTGAATTAGCAAATCGATTTCAATTTGTTTTTGGGCAATTTATTGGCTCTTTTTAACTTAATCCATCAATATCATCAATTATTTCTTACAATTACAAGGTTTCTGACAGCGTAGAAGTACTTCAAAGTGGTTCGGCCATTAAAAGCAGTTCAGAGAGAATTCGAACGAGGAAATGCTAGACTTGTGTGTATCGATGCACTGCCGCAATCTACTTCTTGATGACAATAGGTCCAACGTTGTCTCCAGTCTGCTTGTTGTGCTCGCCATGACTGCCATCGCAGTAGGGCCACTGCGAATAGAGGATTCAATGGGGAAGGCGTTAGACTTTGAATAATACTTAGTATGGTATCAGCTATGCCGTGATAACAAAGTTGTTAAGGTCTGCTAAGTTTTTATATGTTAGATATTTCGTGGGCCAGATTGGTAACCATTGATGAAGGCATAGCCAGGCTTATCTTTCATAAAACTGAACTCCACTCACGTTCTTGGTCTTCCAGCAGCGACAGAAGGCCGCCTTCTCCGCAATGTCCTCCACGTCGATCATGTCCACCACCTTGGGCTCATTTTTGCGGATCAGGTTGTTGCAGCGTCCGCTCTTTTTGGCCGAGCAGCTACCCTGTGCCGCCGGACAGTAGGCCAGGTAGGCGGTGTAGCCGAGTCCGGCCACCACCACGGTGGGTGGGATCAGGGCCAGCCAATCCTTGACTGAAAATGGAACTGGGTTAATATGGAACGCAGTGTATTTCAAGCTTTAGAACTAGATATTTTGGGTGATCAGCCGTAACCGGCACAAGGTCGTTTCCTACACACAGATTGGGTTATAAACGCACCAAGATATGTGCATATATGTCTATGTTTGGGTGTATTATGGGTCTATCGTGTTTCCTATCTATGAGATAAACTTGCTCCAATTATAAATTTCTTGGCGAGCTCAGCAGATGTTGCATAATCGCTGCAGGTTGACTTCAACTTTTTTGCCTGGAAGTGCACACACTGCATTACCAATTCCCGTTAGCTGATCCGCAATATCACGCCACATTTGCACCTGAGTAGCCCCTTAGTTGCCCCACTAGATGCTGTGTCATTATCGTGGCTTTTGGGTTTATGGGGGGCGCCCTTGTGAAGGCAAATCAAATTCCAATAGGCACGACCACGTTCGTTGCTTCATTGGGTACTTACAGGAAAGCTTAAACCAACCGCCGATGCTGTCGGGAATCGGCAGACTTGACAAGTAGTTGGGCAGAGAGGACTTCACTAGGTGTGATATGGGCTCCATTTCAAAATGCCTTCTTTATTTAACTGGCTAATAAATTCCGAAAACTTGTTTTTGTGTTGCTATCGGTAGCGGTGTCAGCACATCGATAAGCCAGACTTATCGGTATCGCTCTAATGCACCGGTAAACAACGGTCACACAGCGATTTCAACGATAGGCCGGCTCGTAGATTTTTGTGTAGTCATCGATAGCATTCTGTTTTGTTTACAATTTATTGATTGAGACCAATAAATTGCCGTTTAAAATGTCTGCTGGGGTACAAGAGCGCCTGCAACTGAGCCGGATGCCGCTGGACACGTGGTCCAAGCGCGAGCAGCTCATCCTGGCATCGGCGGTGTCCTGCAGCGGCGACCAGAACTGGATCACGGTGAGCCGCACGCTAAAAGCGATCTGCGGCAATGGCAGCAGCAACCGACCGGCGGACTGGTTCTCGCAGAAGAACTGCGCCGTGCAGTACGGCAATCTGCTCGAGAGCGTGGAGGCCACCAAGCGCAAGAAGCGCAGCAGCGAAAGCAGTGCCGGTGTGTCCTCGCCGGCCACCGTGGAGACGCCCACGGAACTACTGCTGCGTCGGCTCACGGAGGAGCGGCAGGCGGAGATCAAGGCGCAGATGCGGCAGGATCAGGAGACATACCGACGCATCCAGCGGGAGATTGATTCGCTGCAATCGGACGCAGTGACCGAGCAGGAGCTGCAGGACATGTGGCTGGAGATTGAGAAGGAGCAGGAGACACGCCGCATCGAGGAGATGAAGCTGGAGAACCGCATGCGGGAGCGGGAGCAGCGCAAGAAGGAGCTGGCGAGCAACTGGCGGAACAGTAGTCCAGCCGTCAAGCGTTCTAACCAAGCCGCCGACACGACCTCCGTCGATATGGACGTGGAGGACATTAACACCAGTGGCAATGGCAAACAGCAGACGGGTCCTTCGCCTCTACTGACATCTCTGCTGAAATCACCCACAGGCAATGCGCCTGCAACGCCCACTGCAGGAGGAGGTGTACCGACCGCAGGAGGCACTGGCAGCGTGGCCAGGGCAACGGCGCCAACCATTACCTCGCTGCTGACCAGCGGCGCCAGCTCAACTGTTGCCAATCAGCCAGCCATCACAATGAAGAGCCCCACGGATGCGGCATTCATGTCCCGACCTATTAGCGGACCGCCGGCAAGTGAGGCACTTGCTCCTACAACGCCCACTCTTGAACGGAGTCCTTCGCAGGCGGCACCTACGCTCTCCATGCTGCTGGAGAAGAACAAGGCTGCGGCAAAGGCCAGCGAAGGCGGGAGCTTGATAAAGCCAGAGGGGTCAGGTAACCAGGAACAGGCAGTAGACGAAACCACTTCGTCTGCCGCTGGCACAGCAGACTCCGACGAGGCGGATCCCAATGAGGCGCAGCTGCTGGAGGTCTTCAAGAACATTGACCAAATAATAGATGACATCGACATAGATATGGTCAGTGTCATTGATGAGGAGATTCTTAAAAATGTGGACGACGTCGTAGCCTCGCCGTCGACCGATAAAGCCGAAGTCATTGACTTTGAGGACAAACTGGACGCTTTGAAACGGGAGCAAAGTAAAAGTTCTCCAGCCAGTGATAAACCGAAATCTGTGGAGCTAGTAATTGGATCCAGCGATGACTCAAACGACAATATACCCTTGGCTGCTGTTGCCTCCCAGGAGAGTAAGGATCGCGGCCAGTCCGGCGGTGAATCCACCAGGGGCACCGAGGACGCCGAGTCGGAGCCGTTGGCCAGCGAGGTGGCGGTGGAAGAGATTGGTGAGACCATTACGATCATCAGCACTTCCAGTGAGGATACTGCAGGCTCGCCACCTACGAAAATGGAGGAGGAAGGGGCCACAGACTCGCTTTCGAAGAAGGAAGACGCCACGGAAGTTAAATCTGAACAGGAAGGTAGCTCCCAAAGCCAAAATAAAACAGGAGGAAGCTCAGAAGAACCGGAAACTATAGACCACCATGCAACTAGGGAAGCACAAAGCAAATCAGGCAAGGACGCGACGGGAAAGTCATCAACAACGGAAGAAAAGTCGACCACTCAGTCGACTCCTGGCTCCGCTCCAGTTCCTGTGGATCTGCACGACACAGACGAGGAGTCGTCCTCGTTAACAGACAGCAGCAAGCAGGATGACCATCCAAGGAGTGCAAAAGCAAAGCCACCGCCACTGAAACTGGCTCTGGATGACTCCAAATCGGAACTGGAGTTGAGTGGCGCACCTCAGCCACCATCGGCGCCAACCAGAACACCTTTACTTCGAAAACTGCCCCATCGGGATCGATCCGAAAGTCCAATGGTGGATGATGACGCCACTACAGCCAGCGATCATTCCACTGCAAGGTCCACACGTCGCAGATGCTCCTCCACGCCCGTAATTGACAGTATACCCAACTCACCCGCCTCCAGCGAGCACACCGACGATCGCAGAGAAACGCGAGCCGCCTCCAAGAAGCTCTTCCTGTCCATTTATGCCATGTTGCAGGACAGCAAGCATGCGGCTCCCTTTAAGCGTCCCTTCCACGACGAGCACGCCCAACGGCACGCGGATCTGTGCCTGCGTCCCATGGATTTCCCCACCATCAAGCGGAACATCGACTCGGGCTTCATTCGCAGCTTGAGCGAGCTGCACAGGGATGTCCTGCTGATGGCCCACAACGTCTTGGTGGCCTACAAGCCACACACCACTCAGCACAAGACGGCGCGTTTGTTCGTGCAGGACTGTCAGGCGATCAAGGAGTTCTCCCAAATGCCGGACGCGCAGCCAGGCATCACCGCCACGCCGGTGAGCAACACGGCAAGCTCCCGAGCGGATAAATCAAGCGGCAGCAAGGCAAGGAGCGGCTCTCGAAAGAGCCAGAGGCATCACTAGGCTTACTTTACCTTTCGCATGTATTCATCCATACACTTCGCAGTGGCACTTACATACTACCATTAACAATAAACGTCAATCGAAGAATATGAGGTTCTGTAAGCGTCGAGATCTGGACGAGTGGCAAATGGAGCGTCGGTGTGGGCAGTAGTACTTCTTCAGGCACCTGGAGAGCCGCAGATCGCATTGGCAGAGACGAGCGGCACAGGAGTCGGGGCCACCGAACTCGCCGTGGTCCACGGCGCACAGCGGCTTGCCATGGTAGCAGTTCCACACGTAAGGCACAAAGTACTCCAGATAGGAGATGCAGTTGCTCTGGCCGTAGCACTTGTCGTGCACGCGACAGCAGCGATCGATGCCATCGGCGGGAACTCCGTGGCCGCCGAAGCCGCAATAGCAGCCGTAGCCCTTGTAGATCAGCGGATCACAGCCTGTGGAGCACTTGATCATGGAGTACAGCCGCGTTACATCCCTCTTTCCGCGTTCTCCCTCGGGCAGGCTCTCCTTTTCCCTGCTGCTCTCGTTGGTGAAGCTCCACTTCATGGAGTAGCCAAAGGGATCGTTCACCCGCGCTATGTACACATTCTGAGCATTCATCAGGTCCTCCATCTCCGCCGGCCTCCCAGTCGTGGCTGTTATCACGCGTATGTCCGTCACCCGACCGTCGAAATGGTGGTTCTGGAACTCCAGACGAATCTCGTCGTGGGGATACGAGTTCTGCCAGCCGATCGGCGGATTAGTGTCCCTGTAAATCGACATTTAGATAACTAGCACATGGTACTTAAAGTAATAACTAAAAGCATAAAAAGAAATGAGCAGCTGTGCCTATTCAATTAAGCCAAGTCGCCATGAATTGCATCTCAGTTAATGAAGCAGAATAGGAAGCTATATACTTTGTAAAATGGTCAGTAACCGTCTTATATAGGTAGGTAATTTAATAGTAGTGTTTTCAAGCTCCCACTCACCTATGTTCCTGCTCCAGCGAGGGAACTGGTGGCCTCAGCTCGCCCGTCCAGCCCTCCAGACCCATTTGCTGCCAGTCCTGGTGCGGCGATACTATGAGGCTGGTCTTCACGCTCGTTTCCGGCGGAGTGGTGCTGGGTGATGGTGAATCGATCAGCGTGGCCGTGGCCGTGGCCGACTGGCTGATATTGGGGAAGATTGGTTCCGCGAAATCGGATCGCTGCATTGTTAGCAGCTCGAATTCGCTGCCCCCGCCGATCGATTTGCTGGGCATTTTGAAGACAAGCGAGGGATTCGCACTGCGCATGCTCGCCCCGTACATTTCCGGTATTATGTGATTCAGTAGCTCCGTGTCGTTGGTGACGCCCCTGAAGGCGCTCCTAATGTCTTCGATCACCGTGACATTTGCCACGGCACTCGTCTGGCCACTGAGCCGCACGGCGGCCACCACTAGCCCCATTATCCACAACATGTTCGCATCCAGGAACTCAAGCTGACCACCACTGCACCGCCGATCCGATCCGAACTGCTCGCCTCGAGTGGCTATCGAAAATTGAAGCTGGCTCGGTTGGGGGAAATGCGGTAGTGGCTCGTTTGCAGTTTGTAGCGGCTAGTTGGCCAACAGCACCGAGCCAAGTACACCGGTATAAATGGCTCAAAAGCGTGTTAATAGCAAAGTGGCAGCTGAAAACGAACAGCAGCAGCAGAAAGAAACAATAATAACAATGACCGGGCAGACTTTTTTGGCAGATTTGGTGCAAGTACACACGGAATTTCAAACATACCCCTTAGAAAATATAATAAAATATTAAAATTAATGATTTAAGACTTAAATTAGCAGCATGTTTTAGCACCGTTTAAGGAACTGTATTAGGTTGTTAGGAAACTGACAAGTGGAATGTGTGAAAACACTTGTGCCCCAATGATTCTCTCTGTGTAGGCTATAAAAATAGACCCGTGAAGGTGGCAAGGGGCTGGTGGGTGGCCAAAACGGTGGCACAAATTCGAAGCCACTTTATGGCGACCATTCATTTGGCCAAAACGTTGGGTTTGAGAGTTAAGGCGAAGGTCGGGCCCTAGAAGCGCCATTGAATCCGCTGCAGTCGTCACCAGTTCACGGTCAATTTTAGTGGGTCTTAATTGTAACAATTTGCGACTGCGTGACTGCTCCGCTCTCCCAGCTGCGAAATTGTGTGTGCAAAAGCTACACTGACAATGGAGATAAATATATCCACTTGTGTGCATGGCGATTATATGGTCATGGAAGTGGCTAAGCCAACTTACTTTGCCACTGCCGACTGGCCATTGCACAGTGGTAATTTATAGAGTCCGCCCTCTTGTTACGTTGCTCCACTCGGTGGTTTTTGATGGTTCAGTGGTCCAGTGGCTCAGTGGTTCGGTGGCTCAGTGCGCGCGAAAGGAAAAGCCAAAGCAAACAACTCAATTGCACTTGTAAGCACATGACGTTTATTTGCTATTAATATGGCATTGTGGGTGAAGTTAGTCATAATTATGTGAGCACACGGCTAATTATCACTCTGCTGCTTTTGATAGCCGCGTTATTACTTAGATAATGCTTCTGACGCCCAACGTGGGGCAACACCCTTTTTAGTACCTATTTTCCATTTTATTAACAAACTGTAATAAGCGTAGGAATGTTATTTATCCATCAATTTGTTCCTAGAAATTTGTGTTAAAGATGATAAAGAAGAAAGTATTTCCATTTAGGAATTGGATGATCGTGGAGTTGTTATTAGCTTGCTTAATAAAAATGCTTTAGAGTTCATAAACAAGAAACTGTATATAGTAAAGTTACATTGGTAGAATAAGCAAATTTAAATCTTCGAATTGCACATTTTTGCGCGTATGTTATCGCTATAAACTATTTTCGAAAAGACAATCGATTGAAATTATTCGATTGGCGGACGCAGTCGATAGTCGGGAGCGGTGCCATCGGTGGCACGACAGGCATCGATTATTTCACTTGCATCCCTAGTCGTCCGCTCCAATATAATAATTTCACTGGGCAAACTTAATGGAATAAACGACGAAAAACCGGGACTAATTAGCCCCAGAGCGAGTGCCAATTGGATGCCAGCGAGTTTGGCCGTCGTGCGTGCGATAGAAACCATTAATGGCCGCAAACCGGGCAGCTGTGCGTGCAAAAAAAAGTGAAAAGTGCTGTTAACACAGCGAGTAGCGTGTGCATGTGTGTGTGCGTGCGGGTGTGCGTATGTGTGTGCGTGCGTGTCTTACGTTGCAAACAAAATTTCTTTACTTTTCAATCATTTATTTTGCACTCGATCGGCGGCTGAAGCGGCGTTCTATAACTTTTCCCCCGATCCGCATAGCGCAGCATTGCCCACAAATGTTGCTCCCCCGATATGTGAGTGTTTTTTCGCAGCTCGCGGTGTTCTAGAATCAAGCAAAACCCAATTAAGCATCTTTAACCCATAGCCGTGCATAAATTATAGCGCACAATCATAACTGTTTACCTAGGCGATTTGGGGCCCCGATTTGCAGACTTCTCGTAGTGACCTTCAGCCGAGCAGCAACAAAATCAATAGTAATATAGTTTACGTTGCATCCGCCAGCCACCCGCCAGCCACCCGCAACCCACCACCACTCCACCCCCTTCCGTTTTTACATAATTATGGCCAAGTTCACGGGTTCATGTCTATATCAATTCAATTGGTTCTCGATTGGCCGCCGCAACGAGCGTGGGATTATGGCATTATATACCTAGTAATAGTGCCTGACTGGATGACACCGCATGTGATCGGGCAGAGGTGCTCCCACCGAAAAGGAAAATCACCCAAACAGCTGACCGAGGCTGAATTCGAAAGCTTTGGGGTCCAAGCTTTGCAAGTTATTAGCTGGAGAAGATGACACCGATGTACTGATACTGATACTGATAGCATTGCTACATCCCCTTGAACCTCGGTATTCAACTGGCTACGATGAATCACACTGTTTAGATTAGTAATTGATTATCTATCGCGGGCCCCTTATCGCTGTGAACCTGTTGTGATTGTGGCCAGTTGACTGGCATTGCTCACACAGCAAAGATGTCTCGTAATAACGTCCAATTGTTCGTCCACTACTTGCAGGATAATGAAAGATGCACGAATATGACGTAAATGAGCGCAAAGAGGAACCAGCCAGTCTTCCACCCACTCAAAACGAGACCACTGACACGGTCGGCCAGAGCCAGGATCATCACAACGATTCAACTAAAGTCAACAGCCAGCTGCCACAGGATCAGCGAAATCAGGAACAGGATAATCCTATTCGGCAGCAGGACAACAATCAGCCGCTTCAGGAAACGCCAACTAAGCAGCAGCAGGAGGAAGTTTCCATTCTTTATCCTTTGGTAGTCTGCGAGCAGGTGGCAGTCACCCAACCAATTCTGATTGCGGACACGCCGAAACGATCTCCAGTTAAGAAGCGCCAGCGACGCGTTTATGTCGCCGACACCTTGCGCTGCTCCAGCCTACGTTCCCGTCAAGAGCCCGAAGCCAAGGACCCACTGGAAGGTGGCCTAAAGCAGCCGGAAGTCGCTCCACCACCACCGCCTGTTCAGGCGCCCTCGCCCACGCCGACAGAATCTATTGAATACACACCTCCAGGTAGGATTCGGTCTGCCAGGTTCCACTGTAGCCGTTTGAAACACCTGCACATGTTACCAACAAACATTGTGATTAGCGTGGCTATAAGATTGTATAATACCGCTGTGGTTACGGATGTGCAGATAGCTCTTTTATCACAAAAGCGATTAAAATAATCTGCTTTTTTACACGACACCACTTGCCATTCCTTTTGAATTATTTTTCTTAGAACTTAATTTCCTGAAATTTTACTTTGAAAATACTAATAATCATGTTCCTTGTTGCAGGCCTCTTTAAACCGGAGTTCTGGAACAGCATTGAAGAGGCCCAAGAGCCGAAGACCGTTGTGAAGAAGCGACGTGCCGCTGGAGGACTCAAAAGGACGCGCGGCAACAAGCTTCTGAGAGAGATCGAGATACATTCGCCGGAAACGGCGGCCGCAATTGCGGCAGCACAGGCCGAACTCAACGCCGCAGGAAAGCAGCACTCGGGAGCAGCAGGAGCACGGGCCAGCCGCAAGAGGACCAACACGATGTCTCTATACGATCGGCGATTCCAGACGACCACCGATGAGCGCCGCGTGGCTAACGGATACGGAGGCAATGCAGCGCGTTCGGGCACTGGCTCCTCGTCAAACGAGATCGAGTCCCAGGAGCTGCAGAGCCATCAGTATTACGGTCCCAACGGTGGCAGCAATGCAGCGGGAGCAGCCGCAGGCTTGAACGGAAGTGCGGCGGCCCTGAACCATGCCCCTTCTATGGGCACACTGTGCAACATAGGCAACAGTTGCTACTTGAACTCGGTGGTATACACCCTGCGCTTTGCTCCGCACTTTTTGCACAGCCTACACCACCTGATACAGGACTTGAATGTTGTGCAGCAGACGATTGTTCGCCAGCAGACGGCCAGGTCTGCGTCACTCGGCAGGAATGTGAGTGCCGCTCAATTGGAGCACGCCCGCAGCTGGAGCAGCAAAGATCTGGTCACCAGTACGGATCAGTACAGCGGCCAGAACGGCGGAGTTAATAGCGGGAACGGTGGCAGCGGTTCGAGCAAGTCGACTCATCAGTCGGTAACCGAAAAACTCCACGAACTGTATAACAACCTGCACGGCAACGAGATGGCAGACTCCACGGAGCCCTACCACGCGGACACGCTGCTGCACGCCATCCAGGACGTAAACGCCACCTTTGAAGGCAACCAGCAGCAGGACGCACACGAATTCCTAATGTGCGTGCTTAATTGCATCAGGGAAACGAATCAGTCTTTAATCAAGGCCATTGGCGAGTGTCCTGAGGTCATCGCAAATGGGTAAGTTACATTTGCAAGAAAAAATTAAATGAACAAGTAATGTAATAATTTGTTTTATCTATGTAGGTACATAGCCAACCCGGATGAAGTCGACTCCGGAGAGAGCCAGGATCGCACTGATTCCACTGCGTCGCAGAACGTGAGCTCTGGCAATGGATCGGTGGCAACTAGTCAAATAACCACGACCAAAACGTCGTTCTTCTCTCGCAAATCAAAAAGAAAAGACGAGGTCAAGTCATCCAAGTCGACGCGCGTTCAGTCGCCGCTCAAGGATAATAGTCCCACGGCGGGCGGGTTAACCGGAGCGGGCACAGCCCATGCCACCGCCAACAGCCTGTTCTACCTGAACACAGTTGATCTCAGCGGCGCCAGCAGCACTAGTGGAAGTGCCAGTACGAGTGCCAGTGGCGTTGTTCCCACAAGTGTAGCGTTGCCGACACTACCGCAGGCTACAAAATACTCCAGTGACGACGAAATGAATTCGGCCGCCGTGCTGAAGGACAAAATGCGACTGGAGGAGCGAATACGGGAGCTCAACCTGAACTTCTTCAGCTCCGACTTCGAGGGCATTGTGGTGCTGACGACCAAGTGCCTCAGTTGCGAGACGATCACGCGACAAAAGCAGGGCATGCTTGATATTTCTGTGCCGGTGCCGATCTCTGGATACGACAATGCCGATCTGCAGGACAAACCGAGCACCTACATACAGGTTAGTGGCTATTAAAAATAAGTAACTACCATTTAACTAATTTCTTGTACTTCATAGAATTCCTGCATTACGAAGGAGTATTTCCGCGGCGAGAATAAGTATAGTTGCAACCAGTGCACCGGCTACACCGAAGCCATTCGGTCCATCTCGTACGAGGTGCTGCCCCGGCTACTGGTCATACAGCTGAATCGTTTCTCTGGCGGCATGGAGAAGGTGAGTACGTACGTGCCCACAACCTTCACGCTGCCCTGTTTCTGCGCCACCTGCTGTGAGCTGGGCGAAGGCAACAAGCTGCACGTTTACAAGCTGTACAGCGTGATCACGCATGTGGGAGCCACACTGACGGTGGGCCACTACATCGCCTACACGTGCTTCTTGGATCTGGCCAGTGACTATGTCAACTGTCCGAAGGATCGAAGGAATACGATGACAAACTCGCAAACGATGACATCGCAAACAGTGGCCTCCAATGAAAATGCTGCGCCAAACAATGGAAGCAGCTCCGTGGCCAGCACTCCAGTTATTGCAGCCGCTTCGGCTTTGGCCTCCTCAGGCAACATTTTGATGAAAAAGATGAAGTTCGGCCGCAGCAAGGCCTCCAGCAGCGGTGATATGAGCAAGAATGTTAAGCAAGTTAATGGGACCAGCAGCAAGAACATCACCAATGGAATTGGAAAGCTGAGCATGAACACCACCTGCCAGGGAGTCAACTGCTGTGCCATGAGGCTCTGCTGCAGCCAGCAGACGAGCGGCAGCAACTCAGCCAGTTGCAGCGATTTTAGCGAGGAAACGCTGCAAAACGGAAGCAACAGCAATCTCAGCTTTGGAGGATCGGGCAGCACCTATCCCACAGGCTACGGCAGCACGGGTCGTGGTGGTGTCAGAGCCAACTACGCCCACGGAGGTCCTGATCCCATTTGGTACATGTGCGACGACGACAAGATCAAGGCCATGACCCAAAGGGAGTTCGAAGAGCTGTTATCCCCCACTCGGAAGATCACAATAACGCCCTATTTGCTCTTTTACGCGCGATTCGATCTGCAGCCGCATAAGGCGACACCGCCGAAGCCTGGATCATCGTCAACGCCTCCGCCACCGTCGTCGGCACAGAGTTCGTGGTCGAATGAAAACATGGCCAGCGGCTCGCATAAGATTTGAGGTTGCCCCAAGCCGCAAAAGCCCAGTGGCAAGCGGGAAAAGTGAAAATTGATTGAAGAATTGTACATCAGATATACCGATCGGATTGGAGATGTCTCTAGCCTAGAATAATAAGCAAAATAAGAAGTCTGTTTGTTAAACAATGTAATCGTACTAAGCTCTATCGTTTATCTACATGCATAACTATTCATTAACCACTGGTTAGGTTTGACTGAGTCCTCAATTCCAAGCGCCCTAGGGCTCCCTTCTCCCATATCCGATGATCATATAGCTTTTGTTTTTATTAGTAGCAATCAGTTCTGTCTGTTCAACCGATGCATTTGATTTTGGCATTCTATTATGGTATTCTAATCGTTATCAATTAACAAACCGAACGCGTCACATTGAAAACACGAATTTAAAACGTTGAGATTGTTTGCCCCATTGAATGTTAGTGACATTCGCAAAACGTTTTCGATATACTCGTACATAAATTTAAAGCGAAAGCAATAAAACTAACACATCTTTGATTCACAATAGTGCATGGCAGAAGAGTGGCGAGTGTTGTAATGATAGTAATTATTAATAATAGTAATGAATAATCTCCAATATTCTCATAGGACACACCTACCCAGTTGGCTTTGTGTCGGGAGGCGATGGAATCTGTAATAATTACAGCATCAGTTATACTTATAGTGACTGGAATGGTTTATTGTAAACAATGAGCTGTACCCACGTAAAACACACAAATCTATATACGAAGTGTTGAATAGTTGTTAAACTCATGACACACCTCAAAAGCGAAGTGTAATTGATTGAATCGAAAATGGCGGACAAACAGAAACAGATCAAGCGAACAACTGAGAATTGTTATGAAATGGATTGCATAGTTTATAAAAACGTTTTCATATAACAAGCTGCAACAGAACTTCATTCACTCACAAATCACACACGTTTGTAATGTAACATTGATAAATAAATGTAATAAAATTATAATATATCTGTAATAATGTAATAGCACACTACTTACGCAATATTTTTAGTGGTTTAGCCTTAGTTTCTCCATGCATTACATGACTCTAGTTTAGTTCAGTTCGATATTTTTCCAAGAGCGCTGCTATAGTGATATTAACATTTACAGAGCAAAGATTCATGTACATTGTAATTTGTAAATTTACATTTAACAATTAAAAATTAACACTGATCATTATAAGCAAGCGATTCAGCAGTTCAACGCGACACATAAATTGAGGACCGCTCGATTCCAATTACATTTATGTTTATTATTGATTAGCATTATAGAACATGCTTAACTAAATATACGAAATATACAACATACATATAATCGTGCCAGTTGGGATTTACTTCCTGGAGTAACTTATACTTTATTCAGAAACCAAGTTGATCTCAGCAAGATTTTTGATGGCTAGAGTGAAGCTCTCATAATTTCGCTCCTTCCACTGCACATTGATGAGCATTGTCTCCAAACTCTGACTGATGGCCTGTTCTATGTCCTTGAGATGCTCCTTGGAATTGGCAATAAAGTCTTTAAACTCATCATAGTCCCTTCGTGTGAAGATCAGCTCGGAAAATGGCCGCAAAATATCAGCCATAGATTCTGACTGAGGATGGTAGCTAGAAGGCGTTGATATTAACACAACTATGGTCTTATACTACAAGGATCGATCTAATCTATTTACTTACAACTTGGAAATCGAGTCCACGTTCTCCATCAAGTACTTCTTGGCCAAAAAGAAGCCTACTTTCGCAGAAGCAATCGACGGAAAGACAACTAATGAAGCCTGCTTCCGAATATCTCCCTTGGCGTCGAAGATCCTCTCCAGATAGCGCTGCTGCACCCAGACCTCCAGCGAACAGGCCAGGGAATCCAGAATGGTCATCTTTTCCGTGGCCACATTAGCCTTCTGGTACCGAGTCCACAGGAAATCCCAGTCCTCGTCACTTCCATGCTCGATTGCCGTGCAGTACACAATGCCACGAACGCCCAGCGGAACTGGGTTAAGCTCGTCGGGATTAGCCTCCAAACGCCAGTTGCGGAAGTAGCTCACGGCCTGGGATACGCAATCGGAAACCTCGTAGGTGCATGCCCAGTTCGCCACCATCCCCTTCAAAAGGACCTTGTCATGCTGCTGTATGGAGGAGTCTGTATCGTTGATGCCATTCATGTGCTCATATATCGGGGTGATGAGCTTCCTTATAAAGCTCTGTGTAGAAGAAATTGTAGTTCATGGAAATACCCGCTGACTGGAGTTACCTTATAGAACATATTGTTCGGCGTCTGTCGAAGAATGCTACTAAGAAACGACAGATTGTCCAAAGCCGTTTTCCAGGGCAGAAGCTGCCGTTCCCTCTGCAGATAACTGATCAACTGCAAAGCGATCTCGTAGTCCTGCTCCCCTGTCCAGGCAAAGTACAGGACATCGTGTATGAGCTGGGCCCTGTTGACCACATGGATGGACTGATACTCCTCGCTGTTCAAAGTCGCGATCAGAAGTTTCCAGTTCTGGGCATCGTAGTTGACCTTATATGGCGCCGACAATTGGTTGTTGAAGATTACCCACTGATCGGGTCCTGGCAGATCCCTAATAGTCTTGGAAACACTTTCCCCAGTCTCGGTGCACTCCATCCACTCCTTGGGCGCCGTGTTGTTGAAGTCCTTTTCCTCCTGACTGGTATAGCTCAGGGGCACCCACCAGCATCCTTTGTGTGCTCTAGATATATCTGTATTCAGGAGGTAGCGCTCCTGGCTGAGTCTTGCGGTCCTTGCTGTGTAGTTGCGCGTCACATTGATAACCGGATAACTAGAGGATGGATAGGGTTATAAATATGTTATGATATTTATATGATATGATCTAAACCCACCCAGTTTGCAGAGTCCACGAGTCCATGATGGTCTTGATGTCGTAGTCCGTTGGTAGAGAACCAGTCTTATGGGCAGCTTGGGTGAGAGACTCCCAAAGGTTATCCTGTTCGGCGTTCTTGTAGGCGTATCTTTCCAGATAGGACTTAAGTCCTGTTCGGAACGTCTCCTCGCCCAGGAACAAGTGCATCATACGAATCACCGATGATCCCTTTTGGTAGGAGATGTCATCAAAGCTCTCAGATATCTGCGAAGTCATTTCAATGGGTCTCGAAATGGGATGACTGCTCTCCAGAGAGTCCGTTCGGAAAATGGTTAAAAGGTCTGATATTGAATTCAGTTGCAGGGTGCGCCACTCTGGATGGATGTCTTCCACACCCAAATTGGCCACATAGGTGGCAAATCCCTCGTTCAGCCAAAGATCCGTCCACCACTTCATGGTGACCAGATTGCCGAACCACTGGTGGGCCAACTCATGAGCCACTATATTCGCTGTCCCCTTCTTGGCCTCTATAGATGAATACTCCGGGGAGTAGAGAAGGGTAAACTCCGCGTAGGTGACCAGACCCCAGTTCTCCATGGCACCCGCACTGAAGTCGGGGACCGCGATCTGATCCACCTTCGGGAGTGGAAACTTGGTGCCAAACAACTGCTCGTAGTATTGGAGTACTTTGGGCCCAAACTGCGCGGCATAATCACTCTGATCGATGGCATTTGGCCTCGCCCAGGTGCGGAAAAGAGTTCCATTGGGTAAGGTAGTTGGCTTGTGGGAGAAATCGTTCACGGAGTAGGCAACCAGATAGGTGGACATCGGCACTGAATCCTCAAATGCGGTCCATACATAATCCGGAATGGATTCACTGCAGAAAAAGTTGATCAATTTGGTGTTTAACTTTAATTGCACAGATTGTGAATTAAATTTACTGTGGCCTGGTTTCCTTCACGGGCATGTTGCTGAGACCTGTGTACTTCTGGTGGTAACCCAAGGTGATTGCAAAGGATGCCTTGTAGCCAGGTTCATCGAAGCAGGGAAACGCCAATCGAGCCGAGGCTGGCTCAAATTGCGTGACGGAGATCCATCTGAAACAAAAGTAATGGAGTGTAAGGATTATCTGCACCACCGTTTGATCCCATTGCCCACCTCGTTTCGTTGGCCACCGCATCCTCATAGGAACTCCTGTAGTAGCCAGACAGTTGATCTTCTAACTTGGCCGAAAAGTGCAAACTCAACTCGTAAACTTGGCCAGCCAATAGCTCCTTGCACGTGTTGAGAATATAGAAGTCGTGGGTGGGATTCACTTCCGTAGATGCTATGCAGTTCCCCGGTTTTCCTTCTCCGCCAACTTCGCTGAGGGCGATTTCCGTATCATTAATGGCCAGATCCTTCGAGTGCAAGGTTATATTGCGTGTGTTCTGCAGCACTTCTATTTGAATTTTCACAGTTCCGTTAAAGCGGAAGTCCTCCGGATTTTCCAACTGTGTCAAGATGCGCACATCGTATTTTTGGGGTCGAAGGGCCGTTGGCAAGCGAAAATGGTCATAGGTGCTAACTTCCCTAGCCAAGCTCAGGCCAAGTGTCGCCAGTACTAGAAAAACGCACTTCATGGCCATGTCTTAAAAGAAGTGGTTAAGCAAACTAAGAAATCATTAAAAATTATGTATACGCCCCTTACTAGAGGCGTAAGCTAGTTTTTCTTATTGGGGTTTTTTGGTTTCAAAAACTAAGCTACACATGTTTAGAACGAGGTCAATAACCTCAAAGCTCTAAGCTCCAACTGAAATTGAAATTAAATAGTCCCATTTTTGTTTTTGTTATTTCTTTCAATAATTACATAAATGGTAGAATGAATCATTGATAACCACAAAATCACTTATTATGCAAATGAACCAGGTTTTATAGAATTACCTTGTAGTTTCTCACCTGTGTTACCAGAAACCAATTAGTTCTGTAATGGATTTTCCTTTTTTGTGGCAATCACTAAACACCTGGAACTAGTTTCAGTAGTTTGCAATACGGGTTTCAACTTACACCTCTAATCACAACGGAGAGCCAACTGCGAATGTCGAAAAATCGACGACCCGACAAAATAAAAAGAATTCATAGCCCGTTGGTTCGCGAGAGCTTAAACAAATAGAGATTACACGAGAGTTTTGGAATCTCTAATCTCTAATAAAAAGCGCCAATCGCTCAACGACCGGCTGTCTAGGAAATATAATTTATCATGCCTCATTTTTTGCCATTTCCTATTTTATTGATTATAATAATAGGTTGTTTGATAACTCTAGAGCGACTGAACTGTGTAGAAAGTTTACGGGAGATGCTTGATTGCCCGGCTGAACTGATTGTAGTTTCGCTCCTGCCACTGCACATTGGTCAGTATTATCTCCAATGTCTGTGGAATCGCCTCCGCCGAACCCTCAAGGAACTCCTGCGAATCGGCCAAAAATTTCTTGAACCCAGCATAGTCCTTACGGGTATAAATCTGCTTTTGAAGGGGCTCCAAAAGTCTAGGGATGCTCTTGATTAGCTGATTATAGCTGAAAGTAACAAATAGTGTACCTCCTCTTAAGCGCTATAATTTTAAATTAATACTTACTAAGCGCTTATGGACACGATGTTGTCCATAAAGTACTTTTTGGCCAGAAGGAACCCGACCTCTGTTTTGGCCACCGCCTGGAAGGCCCACTTCGAATCCCCCTTGCGAATGCCTTCCTTGCCGTCGAAGATCAGCTCCAGATAGCGCTGCAGCAGCCACACCTCCCTCGAGCAACCCAGAGCAGTCAGAATGGTGCGCTTCTCGGCCGCCACATTGGATCTCTTGTAGCGCGTCCACAGGAACTCCCAATCCGAGTCGGAGCCGTGCTTTATGGAGGTGCAGTAAACAGTGCTACGAACGTTGATCGGAACCGGGTTCTTCTCGTCCGGACTAGCCTCTGACCTCCAGTTGCGATAGTAGGCCAGGGCCTGGGGCACACAATCGCCCACCTGGTACTGACACGCCCAGTTGACCACCATCGTCTTCAGCAGCACCTGGTCCTGCTGCGGAATCGAGCTGAATGTGTCGTTGATGCCGTTCAGGTGCTCATACACAGGTGTGATGATCTTCTTCAAAAAGCTCTAAGGAAAGGAAACCCTCTTAGATCTTCCTGACCCACGAATTCAGGAGAGCCTACCTTAAAGAACTCAAAGCTGGATGTCTGTCGGACAATGCGATTTACCAGCTTTAGATTGTCGAAGGCCGATTTCCAGGGCAGAAGCTGCCGTTCCCTCTGCAGATAACTGATCAACTGCAAAGCTATCTCGTAGTCCTGCTCCCCTGTCCAGGCAAAGTACAGGACATCGTCTATGAGCTGGGCCCTGTTGACCACATGGATGGACTGATACTCCTCGCTGTTCAAAGTCGCGATCAGAAGTTTCCAGTTCTGGGCATCGTAGTTGACCTTGTATGGCGCCGACAGTTGGTTGTTGAAGATTACCCACTGATCGGGTCCTGGCAGATCCTTAATAGTCTTGAAAACACTTTCGCCAGTCTCGGTGCACTCCATCCACTCCTTGGGCGCCGTGTTGTTGAAGTCCTTTTCCTCCTGACTGGTATAGCTCAGGGGCACCCACCAGCATCCTTTGTGTGCTCTAGATATATCTGTATTCAGGAGGTAGCGCTCCTGGCTGAGACTTGCGGTCCTTGTTGTGTAGTTGCGCGTCACATTGATAACCGGATAACTAGAGGATGGATAGTGTGATGATATGATATTTATATGATATATGATATGATCTAAACCCACCCTGTTTGCAGAGTCCACGAGTCCATGATGGTCTTGATGTCGTAGTCCGTTGGTAGAGAACCAGTCTTATGGGCAGCCTGGGTGAGAGACTCCCAAAGGTTATCCTGTTCGGCGTTCTTGTAAGCGTATCTATTTAAATACGATTTGAGTCCTGTCCGAAACGCCTCCTCCCCCAGAAACAAGTGCATCATACGAAGCACAGATGATCCCTTGTCGTATGAGATCTCGTCGAAGCTTTCAGAGATCTGCGAAACCTTTCCCACGGTTCTCGAAATGGGGTGACTGCTCTCCAAAGAGTCCTTTCGGAAAATGGATAGCAAGTTGGCCAGAGATTCCAGCTCCATGGAACGCCATTCAGGATGAATGTTCTCCACGCACAAAGTGGCCAGGTAGGTGGCTACTCCCTCCTTAAGCCAAAGGTCGGTCCACCACTTCATGGTGACCAGGTTGCCGAACCACTGGTGTGCCAACTCATGAGCTACCACATTCGCTAGTTCCTGTTTGTCCTTCAGCGAGGAAAATTCAGCAGAGTATAGAAGTGCAGTTTCCCTATACGTCACCAAGCCCCAGTTTTCCATGGCTCCAATATTGAAATCAGGCACTGCAAACTGATCCACCTTCGGCAGCGGGAACTTGATGCCAAACAACTCCTCGTAGTATTTGAGTACTTTGGGTCCAAACTCCGCGGCATAATCACACTGATCGATCGCATTTGGCCTCGCCCAGGTGCGGAAAAGAGTTCCATTGGGTAGAATAGATGGCTTGTGGGAGAAATCGTTCACGGAGTAGGCAACCAGATAGGTGGAGATTGGCAGCGACTCCTGGAACTCGGTCCATACGTAATCGGGAAGGGATTCACTGAAATATTCTTCGACTATTATATTACAGATTACTTAAAACCTAGAGTAACCTTACTGTGGCTTAGTTTCCTTTGCGGGCATATTGCTCAGTCCCGTGAACTTCTTGTGATACCCCAAAGTGATCCAGAAAGGCGCCTTGTAGCCAGGTTCATCGAAACAGGGAAATGCCAGCCGCGCGGAGGCAGGTTCAAAATGGGTAATAGAGATCCACCTGCAGGAAAATAGACGGATTAAATATATGTGTTCTTCTTCGAGCAATCCAAGTTCACACCTAGTTTCGTTGGCCACTGGATCCACGTAGGAGCTTCGGTAGTATCCTTCCAATCGGTCCAGCAATGTGGTTGAAAACTGCAAACTTAGCTCATAGACATGGCCAGCCAAAAGTTCTTCGCAGGTGTGAAGAATATAGAAGTCGTGGGTGGGATTAATCTCTGTGGAGGTCACGCAGTTATCCCTGGAATCCTCTCCGCCAATTTGGCGAAGAGTGGTCTCCGTCTCATCGATCGTCAGTTCCTTCGAATGCAAAGTTATGTTGTTGCTGTTTTCCAGGGCTTGGATTTGAATTTTCACATTTCCGCCAAAGCTGAACTTCTCTGCATTTTCCAGCTGGGTTAGGATTCGCAATTTATACTTGATAGGGCGAAGAGCCGTCGGCAGGCGATAATGATTATAGGTGGAATTAGTCGTGACTAAGCCCAAGCCAACTGTTATTACAAATAACATAAACCACTTCATACTGATTCTGTAAAAACGTGAAGCCCACAATTGAATTGGAAACTCTATTCTCTAAGAACCTGCATTCAAATTTAGAAATGTATTTTTTTTTTAATTTTTACATTATTCTACATTAATTTTTTTTCAGTATAATGTAGAAATTCAAAAAAATTTAAAAATGGCCGAAGGCTGAAGTTCTATACTCCATAACTCAACTGATCGTAATCGGATTTTGAAGTGGCATACCTCTAAATGTTTCTGGCGCAATTCTCTAACAATCTGCATTCAAATTTAGAAATTAATTTTTTTTTGATTTTTTTGTAATTTTTCTGATGTATTGTGTGTAGAATTCAAAAAAATTAAAAAATGGCCGAAGGCTGAAGTTCTATACTCCATAACTCAACTGATCGTAATCGGATTTTGAAGTGGCATACCTCTAAATGTTTCTGGCGCAATTCTCTAACAATCTGCATTCAAATTTAGAAATTTATTTTTTTTTGATTTTTTTTGTAGTTTTTCTGATATATTATGTTGTAGAAATTCAAAAATAGCCGAAGGCTAAAGTTCTATACTCCATAACTCAACTGATCGTAATCGGATTTTGAAGTGGCATACCTCTAAATGTTTCTGGCGCAATTCTCTAACAATCTGCATTCAAATTTAGAAATTTATTTTTTTTTTATTTTTTTGTAATTTTTCTGATGTATTGTGTGTAGAATTCAAAAAAATTAAAAAATGGCCGAAGGCTGAAGTTCTATACTCCATAACTCAAATGATCTTAATCGGATTTCGAAGTGGCATACCTCTAAATGTTTCTGAAGAAATTCTCTAACAATCTGCATTCAAATTTAGAAATTTATTTTTTTTTGATTTTTTTGTAATTTTTCTGATGTATTGTGTGTAGAATTCAAAAAAATTCAAAAATGGCCGAAGGCTGAAGTTCTATACTCCATAACTCAACTGATCGTAATCGGATTTTGAAGTGGCATACCTCTAAATGTTTCTGGCGCAATTCTCTAACAATCTGCATTCAAATTTAGAAATTTGTTTTTTTTTGATTTTTTTGTAATTTTTCTGATGTATTGTGTGTAGAATTCAAAAAAATTAAAAAATGGCCGAAGGCTGAAGTTCTATACTCCATAACTCGAATGATCTTAATCGGATTTCGAAGTGGCATACCTCTAAATGTTTCTGAAGAAATTCTCTAACAATCTGCATTCAAATTTAGAAATTTATTTTTTTTTGATTTTTTTGTAATTTTTCTGATGTATTGTGTGTAGAATTCAAAAAAATTCAAAAATGGCCGAAGGCTGAAGTTCTATACTCCATAACTCAACTGATCGTAATCGGATTTTGAAGTGGCATACCTCTAAATGTTTCTGGCGCAATTCTCTAACAATGTGCATTCAAATTTAGAAATTTATTTTTTTTTGATTTTTTTGTAATTTTTCTGATGTATTATGTTGAAGAAATTCAAAAATAGCCGAAGGCTGAAGTTCTATACTCCATAACTCAACTGATCATAATCGGATTTTGAAGTGGCATACCTCTAAATGTTTCTGGCGCAATTCTCTAACAATCTGCATTCAAATTTAGAAATTAATTTTTTTTTGATTTTTTTGTAATTTTTCTGATGTATTGTGTGTAGAATTCAATAAAATTAAAAAATGGCCGAAGGCTGAAGTTCTATACTCCATAACTCAACTGATCGTAATCGGATTTTGAAGTGGCATACCTCTAAATGTTTCTGGCGCAATTCTCTAACAATCTGCATTCAAATTTAGAAATTAACTTTTTTTTGATTTTTTTGTAATTTTTCTGATATATTGTGTGTAGAATTCAAAAAAATTAAAAAATGGCCGAAGGCTGAAGTTCTATACTCCATAACTCAACTGATCGTAATCGGATTTTGAAGTGGCATACCTCTAAATGTTTCTGGCGCAATTCTCTAACAATCTGCATTCAAATTTAGAAATTTATTTTTTTTTGATTTTTTTGTAATTTTTCTGATGTATTATGTTGTAGAAATTCAAAAATAGCCGACGGCTGAAGTTCTATACTCCATAACTCAACTGATCGTAATCGGATTTTGAAGTGGCATACCTCTAAATGTTTCTGGCGCAATTCTCTAACAATCTGCATTCAAATTTAGAAATTAATTTTTTTTTGATTTTTTTGTAATTTTTCTGATGTATTGTGTGTAGAATTCAATAAAATTAAAAAATGGCCGAAGGCTGAAGTTCTATACTCCATAACTCAACTGATCGTAATCGGATTTTGAAGTGGCATACCTCTAAATGTTTCTGGCGCAATTCTCTAACAATCTGCATTCAAATTTAGAAATTAACTTTTTTTTGATTTTTTTGTAATTTTTCTGATATATTGTGTGTAGAATTCAAAAAAATTAAAAAATGGCCGAAGGCTGAAGTTCTATACTCCATAACTCAACTGATCGTAATCGGATTTTGAAGTGGCATACCTCTAAATGTTTCTGGCGCAATTCTCTAACAATCTGCATTCAAATTTAGAAATTTATTTTTTTTTGATTTTTTTGTAATTTTTCTGATGTATTATGTTGTAGAAATTCAAAAATAGCCGACGGCTGAAGTTCTATACTCCATAACTCAACTGATCGTAATCGGATTTTGAAGTGGCATACCTCTAAATGTTTCTGGCGCAATTCTCTAACAATCTGCATTCAAATTTAGAAATTTATTTTTTTTTGATTTTTTTGTAATTTTTCTGATGTATTATGTTGTAGAAATTCAAAAATAGCCGACGGCTGAAGTTCTATACTCCATAACTCAACTGATCGTAATCGGATTTTGAAGTGGCATACCTCTAAATGTTTCTGGCGCAATTCTCTAACAATCTGCATTCAAATTTAGAAATTAACTTTTTTTTGATTTTTTTGTAATTTTTCTGATATATTGTGTGTAGAATTCAAAAAAATTAAAAAATGGCCGAAGGCTGAAGTTCTATACTCCATAACTCAACTGATCGTAATCGGATTTTGAAGTGGCATACCTCTAAATGTTTCTGGCGCAATTCTCTAACAATCTGCATTCAAATTTAGAAATTTATTTTTTTTTGATTTTTTTGTAATTTTTCTGATGTATTATGTTGTAGAAATTCAAAAATAGCCGACGGCTGAAGTTCTATACTCCATAACTCAACTGATCGTAATCGGATTTTGAAGTGGCATACCTCTAAATGTTTCTGGCGCAATTCTCTAACAATCTGCATTCAAATTTAGAAATTTATTTTTTTTTGATTTTTTTGTAATTTTTCTGATGTATTGTGTGTAGAATTCAAAAAAATTAAAAAATGGCCGAAGGCTGAAGTTCTATACTCCATAACTCAAATGATCTTAATCGGATTTCGAAGTGGCATACCTCTAAATGTTTCTGGAGAAATTCTCTAACAATCTGCATTCAAATTTAGAAATTTATTTTTTTTTGATTTTTTTGTAATTTTTCTGATGTATTGTGTGTAGAATTCAAAAAAATTCAAAAATGGCCGAAGGCTGAAGTTCTATACTCCATAACTCAACTGATCGTAATCGGATTTTGAAGTGGCATACCTCTAAATGTTTCTGGCGCAATTCTCTAACAATCTGCATTCAAATTTAGAAATTTATTTTTTTTTTATTTTTTTTTAATTTTTCTGATGTATTGTGTTGTAGAAATTCAAAAGTGGCCGAAGGCTGAATTTCTATACTTCATAACTCAACTGATCCTAATCGGATTTTGAAGTGGCATACCTCTAAATGTTTCTGGCGCAATTCTCTAACAATCTGCATTCAAATTTAGAAATTTATTTTTTTTTTATTTTTTTGTAATTTTTCTGATGTATTGTGTGTAGAATTCAAAAAAATTCAAAAATAGCCGAAGGCTGAAGTTCTATACTCCATAACTCAACTGATCTTAATCGGATTTCGAAGTGGCATACCTCTAAATGTTTCTGGAGAAATTCTCTAAAAATCTGCATTCAAATTTAAAAATTTTTTTTTTTTTGATTTTTTTGTAATTTTTCTGATTTATATATAATGCTGTATAAATTCAAAAAAATTCAAAAATGGCCGAAGGCTGAAGTTCTATACTCCATAACTCAACTTATCTTAATCGGAGGTATTTGAAGTGGAATACCTCTAAATATTTCTGGCGGAATTCTCTAAAAATCTGCATTCAAGTTTAGAAAAATAAAATTTACGTTACTCGTAGAGTAAAAGGGTATACTAGATTCGTTGAAAAGTATGTAAAAATAACCAATAGCCAAGTCGATCTGGCCATAGCCGTCTGACTGTGCGTATGAAAGCCTCGATCTCAGGAACTACAAAAGCTAGAATGTTGAGATTACACATGCAGCTTCCAGAGATAGACGCATGCAAGTTTGTTTTCAATTGTTGCCACGCCACTCCAACGTCCACAAACCGCCCAAAACTGTCACGCCCACACTTTTAAAAAATGTTGTGGTATTTTTTAATTTTTGTATATACACGTAGGCTGTAAATTTCTATAGATTTGCAAAAAACTTTTTGCAACGCCCACACTTTTAAAAATTGTTTAAGATATTTTTCATTTTATTATTTTTTCCCCAATATCTACCGATATTCCAGAAAATGTTGAAATTTCTCGTTTGCACTTCCACTAGCTAAGTAAGTGGTATCTGATAGTCGGGGAACTCGACATTTTATATAGTTTAATATTTCGCGTGTTCTTCAAATACAATTCGTTAAATTTCTTTTCAGTGTTATTCATTACTTGGGACAAAACCGGAACAGATTATAATAAAAAAAATTCCATTAAACCTGCTTGTCCATATGTTCATAAGTATACGAGTATATATGTTTTTAGTTGCATTCTTATTTTTAACACTAAAACTGTTTTGATAATGGTCTTATCATTATGTTTGTCACTTCACTACTCCCCTAACCCCTTCTCCTAAACTACGATTAAGCCTAGTAATACTCCGAGAATGACAAAACATCCGAACACAACGAATTCCACCGATCGAATGATGCTTATTTAAAGATCTGTACCGTATCTGTAATGTATCTGTATAGTAGCGATTTCTGAGCGCGTTACTCAAAGATGGATTAATGTGAGTATAATCTACAATCTAGTTCTCAGTTTATAGAACTTGATGGAGTGTTCTGTTCCCTTTGTTATAAATAACAAAGATCGTGTAACTTTTTTAAAGCCGAGCAGAGAAATGGTTTATTTTATTTATAACAAAATACGGTTGTGTATTTTCAAGTTCTACAAGTTCCGCTGGAGGGAGTCAAAAATCTGGGGATAGTTTCGATCCATCCATTGGACATTGGTAACCATTGCCTCCAGGCTTTGCTGAATTGCCTGTTCGACTCCCTTGAGCGACTGCTGCGATTTGTTAACAAACGCCCTAAACTCATTTAGGTCATTTGCAGTGTAAATTTGTTCGCACAGTGGTGGCAAAAGTCGGGCCATGCTTCTTGTCTGTGGATAATAGCTGAAAATCGGGTATTATTTGGTCATAACCCCTTCCGAAAACAATTCGTTTTTACTTACTATTCAACCATAAAGTCAACATGCTCCATCAGATAGCTCTTGGCCACTGGGAAACCCTGTTCGCGGGAGACTACTGCTTGGAAGCTCAGCAAAGAATCCTGCCTCCGAATGTCTCCCTTGGGATCGAAGGCCCTCTCCAAGTAACGCTGTAAGATCCATACTTCCTTGGAACAGCCCAGGGTGCTCAAGATGGTCTGCCTCTCGGAGCCCACATTCGACCTCCTGAACCGCGTCCACAGGAAGTCCCAATCCTCTTCGGTGCCCTCTCTTATTGCCGTGCAGTACACGGTGCTGCGAAGGTTTGGTGGAACCGGGTTGCTCTCGTCAGGATCGGGCTCGGATCGCCATCTGCGGAAGTAGGACTGTGCCTGGGGCACGCAATCGGAAACGTGGTACTGACACGCCACATTGACCACCAGGGTCTTCAGAAGGACCTCATTCTGCTGCATCGAACTGAACGTGTCGTTCGTGCCGTTCAGGTGCTCATAGATCGGGGTAAGGAGCTGCTTCATGTAGCGCTGGAAATGAAGCATTGCATTGATTGATCCTCATCCTTTGGACATGGATGTAAAGCTTACTTTAAAGAGCCCAAAGTTGGGGGTTTGTCGCAGGATGCGGTTCAGCAACTTCAAGTTGTCCAAGGCCGATTTCCAAGGAATAATATCTCGCTCCCTCTGCAGATAGTTGGTCACTTGCAGAGCGGTTCCGTAGTCCTGTTCTCCTGTCCAGGCGAAGTACAGGACATCCTCCACGAACTGGGCTCTGTTGATCACATGGATGCTCTGGAACTGATCGCTGTTCAAAGTATCAATCAAGAGCTGCCAGTTTCTGGCATCATAGTTGGCCTTGTAAGGGGTCGACAGCTGAATGTTGAGGATCACCCATTCTTCGGGTCCGGGTAGAAGATCAATGGTCGTAGGCACACTTTCGCCAGTTTGGCTGCACTCCATCCACGCCTTGGGCGCCGTGTTGTTGAAGTCCTTTTCCACCTGGGTGGTGTAGCTCACTGGCACCCACCAGCAGCCATAGGCGCTCCTATTTATATCGGTGTTCCGGATGTATCGTTCTTGACTGAGCGTCGCAGATCGTCCTTCGTAGTCTCGAGTGACATTAACCACTGGGTAACTGTATGAAAACTTGCATTGCAGTTGTCGCAGAAGGGAAGTAGTAAAGTGAGGACCTACCCGGCTTGGAGAGTCCACGAGTCCATGATGGTCTTGATGGCGTAGTCCTTGGGCAGTGAGCCAGTTTTATGGGCAGCTTTGGTGAGTGACTCCCAAAGATTGTCCTGTTCGGCATTCTTGTAGGCGTACGCCTGGAGGTACGACTTAAGTCCGCTCCGGAATGCCTCCTCCCCCAGGAACAAGTGCATCATGCGCAGCACTGAGGATCCTTTCTCGTACGAGATCTCATCGAAGCTCTCAGTGATTTGCGAGACCATCTCAATGGGTCTCGAGATAGGATGACTGCTTACTAAAGCATCGAGACGGAAGGATGTCCTCAGAGAAGACAGGGAGCGTCTGTCCTTCGAGTGCCAATCGGTATGGATGTTGTCCACACCCAAGCTGCCCACATAGGTGGCAAATCCCTCGTTCAGCCAAAGATCCGTCCACCACTTCATGGTGACCAGATTGCCAAACCATTGGTGGGCCAGCTCGTGGGCCACTACATATGTCAATTCCTGTTGGTCCGCCAAGGAGGAGTGACCAGCTGAGAAGAGGAGTCTGGGCTCTCTGTAGGTCACCAATCCCCAGTTCTCCATGGCATTGTAGCTCAAGTCCGGAGCGGCAAACTGATCGATCTTGGGCAGTGGAAACTTGATGTCGAAGAACTCATCGTAGAATTGCAAAACCTTGGGACCAAACTCAGCCGCATAGTCGCACTGATCGATGGCGTTCCTACGTGCCCAGGTTCGGAATTGAGGACCACTTGGTAAAGTGGATGGCTTGCTGGAGAAGTCATTCACGGAATAGGCAACCAGGTAGGTGGACATTGGAACCGACTCCTGAAACTCCGTCCACATGAAATCGGAAAGTGATTCACTGCAAGAAGTGATTATTACCAAACATTTCAATAAGAAAAGGTAAACTTTTTTATAATTACTGTGCCCTTGTTTCCTTCACTGGCATGTTGCTAAGGCCCGTATAACTTTGATGATAGCCCAAAGTAACCAGGAACGGCGCCTTGTATGCCGGCTCATCAAAGCATGGGAATGCCGATCGTGCCGACGCCGGGGCGAACTGGGTAATGGAGATCCATCTGGAAGTACTTCCTTAAATGGAGAAATATGCATACCATATACACGCACCTCGTCTCGTTGGTCACAGGATCCACGTAGGAGCTGCGGTAGTAGCCCTCAAGTTGCCTGTTTAACTCAGCTGAGAAGGGTAAGGTCAGCTCGTAGACATGGCCAGTCAATAGCTCCTTACAGGTATTAAGAATATAGAAATCGTGTAAGGAATTCACTTCGGTGGAGGATACACAGATATCCGTATTTCCCTCACTGCTAATTTGTTTAAGTGCAATTCGGGACTCATTGATATGCAGATTCTTCGAGTGCAGCGTTATGTTGTTGGTGTTTTGCAGCACTTCAATTGCAATTCTTGAAGTGCCGCTAAAGCGGAGATCCTCTGGATAATCCAGTATAGTAAGAATATGCAAATCATATTTTTGGGGTCGTAGGGCAGTCGGCAGTCTGTGGTAGTTATAGTTCGACTCAGATTCGACTAAGCCCAGCCAGAAAGCAGCCACTAATATGGGAACCCAGTTCATCTTCGATTTTGATTGTGAGAATATCAACGCCACACAAAAATAAATATACGTCACCGATCTACTCATTCAATTAAATTCATTCTTATCATTCTGAAATTAAGCCACTTGTGTGGATTTGATTTTAGCTATCAGCTCTTTCCGGAACTATTAGCTGCTCCTCTGAACGCGACGAAGTCAAGAACTGAATGCGGTCATTCTATGATCAAGAATACTACAACTGAATCATATAATATATTATAAAAAGCTCACTACGTCAAGAGAGATTAAAGCAATTATCGTTTTTGAGCAATAGAAACAGACCAGTGACTGTATTCTAAGAAATTTCGGAGATTTCTTGTCGGAAGTAATCTTTAATAGACACTATATCACTCACAGTCAGTAGTCACTCGTTCTCCCTTGTTTTTCATGAAATTTTCATGAAACATTTTTCAAAAAAGGGTATAAAAAAGGGTATTTAAAATTCGAGAAACGCAGCTAAAGCGTTCCTCTTGTTTTGTATTTTCAATCATTATAATACTATAACATTAAGTGGGCTATTTAGAGGCACTAAGCTCATTCCTGTGCTTTTCCGGCAATTTTCTCAAAGTGATCATTGCAAATGGTGCTGTATGGTCCGGGAGAACTGATGATAGTTCCGATCCATCCACTGCACATTGGTGAGCATCGTCTCCAAGCTCTGCTGCATCGCCTGACGAATGCCCTTCAGCAATTGACGGCAATCGTTGGCAAAGGACCTGAACTTGTTCAGATCACTCATTGTACTAACTTGCTCGGAAAATGGAAGCAACAGACTGGACATGGCTCTTGTCTGCGGATAATAGCTGCAGCGAAAACGGAGCCATATAGTCACATATCTCTCTCGCAATAGTTGTACTTACTACTTGTGGATGAGCTCAACATTTTCCAGCAGGTACTGCTTGGCCAGCAGGAAGCCCACTTGTCCGAAGGCCACCGCCTGGAAGCTCAGCAAAGAATCCTGCCTCCGAATGTCTCCCTTGGGATCGAAGGCCCTCTCCAAGTAACGTTGTAAGATCCATACTTCCTTGGAACAGCCCAGGGTGCTCAAGATGGTCTGCCTCTCGGAGCCCACATTCGACCTCCTGAACCGCGTCCACAGGAAGTCCCAATCCTCTTCGGTGCCCTCTCTTATTGCCGTGCAGTACACGGTGCTGCGAAGGTTTGGTGGAACCGGGTTGTTCTCGTCAGGATCGGGCTCGGATCGCCATCTGCGGAAGTAGGACTGTGCCTGGGGCACGCAATCGGAAACGTGGTACTGACACGCCACGTTGACCACCAGTGTCTTCAGAAGGACCTCATTCTGCTGCATCGAACTGAACGTGTCGTTCGTGCCGTTCAGGTGCTCATAGATCGGGGTAAGGAGCTTCTTCATGTAGCCCTGGAAATGAAGCTGGAAATGATCCTCGTTTATATGGAAATGGATGTAGAGCTTACTTTAAATAGCCCAAAGTTGGGGGTTTGTCGCAGGATGCGGTTCAGCAACTTCAAGTTGTCCAAGGCCGATTTCCAAGGAATAATATCTCGCTCCCTCTGCAGATAGTTGGTCACTTGCAGAGCGGTTCCGTAGTCCTGTTCTCCTGTCCAGGCGAAGTACAGGACATCCTCCACGAGCTGGGCTCTGTTGATCACATGGATGCTCTGGAACTGATCGCTGTTCAAAGTATCAATCAAGAGCTGCCAGTTTCTGGCATCATAGTTGGCCTTGTAAGGGGTCGACAGCTGAATGTTGAGGATCACCCATTCTTCGGGTCCTGGTAGAAGATCAATGGTCGTAGGCACACTTTCGCCAGTTTGGCTGCACTCCATCCACGCCTTGGGCGCCGTGTCGTTGAAGTCCTTTTCCGCCTGGGTGGTGTAGCTCACTGGCACCCACCAGCAGCCAACGCGTTCGGAGCGGGGTATCTGGGAATCGCGCAGGTATCGTTCCTGGGTGAGCCTAGCGGTTCCAGCCGAGTAGTCACGGGTAACATTGAGCACAGGATATCTGAGTGGGGCAGCAGATGATGACGATGATGATGAGATACCGGAGAGTATGTGAACTATGGACTTACCCGGTTTGCAGAGTCCACGAGTCCATGATGGTCTTTATGTTGTAGTGCCCGGCAAGAGCTCCGACCTGATGGGCTGCTGAAGTGAGTGACTCCCAGAGGTTGTCCTGTTCGGCGTTCTTATAGGTGTAGAGCTTGAGATACTCCTTCAGTCCCAATCGGAAGGACTCTTCGCCCATGAACAAGTGCATCATGCGCAGCACTGCGGATCCCTTTTGGTAAGAGATTGCATCGAAGCTTTCCTCGATCTCCGCTACCATTTGAATGGGCCTTGATATGGGATGGCTGCTCACGAGTGAATCCAGGCGGAAGGAGGTGATCAGAGCGGTCAGAATACCCTTATCCTGGGATTGCCAGTCCGGATGGATTTCCTGGACTCCCAAGCCGGCCACATAGGTGGCGAATCCCTCATTCAGCCAGAGGTCGGTCCACCACTTCATCGTCACCAGATTACCGAACCATTGATGGGCCAGCTCATGGGCTATTACATTCGCCAGGTTCTGTTGGTCCGACAGTGAAGAGTGGTTGGGCGAGTAGAGAAGTGTGGTTTCCCTGTAGGTCACCAGACCCCAGTTCTCCATGGCACCGGCGCTGAAATCGGGCAAGGCAATCTGATCGATCTTGGGCAGCGGGAACTTGATGCCGAAGAACTGCTCGTAGTATTGCAGCACTTTGGGCCCGAACTCCGCGGCATAGTCGCACTGATCGATGGCATTGGGCCTGGCCCAGGTCCGGAATAGGGCTCCATTTGGCAGAGTAGACGGCTTGAAGGAGAAATCATTCACCGAATAGGCCAACAGGTAGGTGGACATGGGCACCGACTCCTCGAACTCGCACCATATGTAGTTCGGAAGGGTCTCGCTGCTCATAGGAAATAATAAGTAAAATAAATAAAGTTATGCGGACGAAGGACATACTGCGGCTTGATTTCCTTCACGGGCATGTTGCTGAGTCCTGTGAACTGGGTGTGATAGCCCAAGGTGACCACAAAGGATGCCTTGAAGCCTGGCTCATCGAAGCAGGGAAATGCCTTTCGAGCGGCGGCTGGCTCGAATTGGGTGGCAGAGAGCCAGCTGAAATGAGATTAGGTATCATAGGTATCAGACAGATGAAGTTCCACCCACCGTGTCGTGTTGGTCACAGCATCCTTGTAGGAACTGCGGTAGTAACCCACGAGCTGGCGGTTTAGATCGGCAGAGAACGGAAGGCACAGAATGTATACATTGCCGGCCAAAAGTTCCTCACAGGTGTGGAGGATATAGTAGTCGTGGGCGGGATTGACTGATGTGGAGGACACACAGTTATCCTTTTTCCCCCCACCGCCGATCTGGCGCAGAGTGATCTGGGACTCATCGATGGTCAGGTTCTTCGAGTGCAGCGTTATGTTCCTGGTGTTTTGCAGCGCTTTAATGACGATTTGCACATTTCCGGTGAAGCGCAGATCATCCGGGTTTTTCAACTCTGTCAGGATACGCAAGTAGTACTTTTGTGGTCTTAAGGCAGCCGGCAGTCGATAGTGGTTATAGCTGGAAATTGAGTTGGCCGAGGATAAATCCAGGCTAATGACCAGAGCGACCCACAGAAACCACTTCATAGTCGACACTGAGGAATACAAAAAATCATTTCTACTTCAGGCATATACGAATACCAATATTTAAAGATATTTAAAATCCATTTACAAAACTGGTAACCAAATGACAGCTCTAAAATGTAAATAGCTTTGAGTGCAACGAACTGATATATTCAACGTTCGGTTTAAAAAGTATCTTTAGCTCGCCGAAGAAAGGGTTGCTAATTTTTAGTTAAACAAATGTCATAATAGATTGACGTGAAATTTAGTTTTTATTCACGGTTCAAGCGAATCTCGCGATCTGTCGATGTCATGAAGCGAATTTTAATCAGAAATAATGGTAATTTATTATCTGCAATGTAATCAAGTAGCACTTGTAAATGGTTTAATATTCCGTAGACAACTTAACAACTTTAAAACAAAGAAACTGGTTATCTATAGTTATTTTTTGTGCAAATTGGTTTTGCCATTTTATCTATACTTGGAATAGTTCACACCAAACTGTGATAAATAATTAGAAATTGTCCAAAGCTCAGCTATTCCGGAGCCACAATGGATTCACTTAATTGGCTTTACATTCAGAACGCGTTTCACAATTAGAATTAGTAACAAATTCGTTTTCTTGGAAAAGACGGCGAACAAAATGGCAAGCGATAGCAACAAGTGGCACTACTGAACTCACCAGAGGATAGCGACGGAATGCGTCTAGTTCGTCTACAATTTCCCGAGAGCAATGTTTTCAGAGAGGCCGGAAAGCGATGCTAACTCGGGAAATTGGGAGCGCAGAGAATTAGTATCAGCTGCAGAACAAAGTGAGGCTTACCCGGCGTATACGTCATTTTAGAGCCCATTGCTCGCAGTGAAACGATTTCAAATTCTGTATTTGAGCAGCTTCAATTTTTCATAACAAAAATATTTCGTCTCAAATTCCTTGCAAGGCACACTTTGTTAGTCTTCACTCATTATGGAATAAGTAGGAACAAAGTAAATAATAGCTGGCCTTTACGGTATCGCTTATTAGCCATAGGAAATGGGATTAACCTTTACTACTGATTACTTATTGTGATACTTCTTATGTTCCTTGCATTAAAAGACTTCCATCTGAGATACACGAATACTGGAGTATTAAATTGTTTATTTAAGCGCCTTTAAACATTCATAATATTCCTGCTGAAATCAGAGATGCGTCTCTAAGTGAGCTGATGAGAGGCTGGACTGGGCACTGGGAACTAGGAACTGGGAATTAGGAATTGGGCAATCTAGAGGAGCTGCTGGATGGAGCGGGACATCTGGTGGTAGTTCCGCTCCTTCCACTGCACATTGGTGAGCATGATCTCCAGGGTCTGTTGGATGGCCTGCTCCAGCCCCTTGAGCGACTGTCGGGAGTTGTTCACGAAGTCCTTGAACTCGTTGAAGTCGCTCAGCGTGATGACCTGCTCGGAAAGCGGTGAGAGGAGGCGGGACATGTCCTTGGTGAGCGGATGGTAGCTGGAAAACAGAAGCCGTTAGCCGAAGTTGTATGCAACACAGAGACGGGAACCTACAACTTGTAGATGAAGTCGACGTTGTCCATGAAATACTTCTTGGCCAGCAAGAATCCCACCTCGTTGAAGGCCACCGCCTGGAAGGCCCACATCGAGTCCTGCTTGCGAATGGCCTCCTTGGGGTCAAAGGTCAGCTCCAGATAGCGCTGCAGCAGCCACACCTCCCTCGAGCAGCCCAGAGCAGTCAGAATGGTGCGCTTCTCGGCCGCCACATTGGATCTCTTGTAGCGCGTCCACAGGAACTCCCAATCCGAGTCGGAGCCGTGCTTTATGGAGGTGCAGTAAACAGTGCTACGAACGTTGATCGGAACCGGGTTCTTCTCGTCCGGACTAGCCTCTGACCTCCAGTTGCGATAGTAGGCCAGGGCCTGGGGCACACAATCGCCCACCTGGTACTGACACGCCCAGTTGACCACCATCGTCTTCAGCAGCACCTGGTCCTGCTGCGGAATCGAGCTGAACGTGTCGTTGATGCCGTTCAGGTGCTCGTAGATCGGGGAGATCAGCTTCTTCATGTAGCGCTGCGTCGAGGGTTCATAGAGATATACATTAGATCCTGTAGCACAATTCATTCAGAACTCTAGGGTTCATATACCCGGCACTTGTCGGCTGAATTATTATTACATTATCATATATTATTATCAGTGCCGGGCATCTTAAAGTCGACGTAGCCGACCACATCGGTGTAACTTGTTGTTAAGACACGCTCAGACTTACGACAAAGAACAACTGTCGGTGGGTTGCCCGTGGCAAGTTAGGTGGGTGGATGAAGTTAGGTGTGAGCAATTTTGAAAGGATCGTTTCGAAATACAAATGAGAATGAGATTACAAGGGGAGCACGTTGCAGAAGGGCATAACGCTACTTTGAAACAGCGGAACCCACCTTGAAGAACTCGAAGTCGGGTGTCTGGCGGAGAATGCGACCCACTCGCTTCAGATTCTCGAAGGCCGACTTCCAGGGCAGATACTCGCGCTCCCGCTGCAGATACTCGATCAGCCTCATGGCGATCTCGTAGTCCTGCTCGCCGGTCCAGGCCAGATATAGGGCGTCGTCGATCAGCTGAGCTCGGTTGATCACGTGGATGCGCTGGAAGTCTCCATTGGTCAGGGTCTCAATTAGAAGCTTCCAGTTCTGGGCATCGTAGTTGACCTTGTAGAGCGTCGAGAGCTGCGTGTTGAAGATCACCCACTGATCGGGTCCTGGTAGCTCCTGAATGGTCTTGGGCAGGCTCTCGCCATTCTTGCCGCACTCCATCCAAGCCTTGGGCGCTGTGTTGTTGAAGTCCTGCACCGCCTGCGTGGTGTAGCTCAGTGGCACCCACCAGCAGCCGCCGCGATGAGCTCGGGACACCTGGGTGTTCAGGAGGTAGCGCTCCTGGTTGAGCTTCGCCGTCCTGGCGGAGTAGTCGCGCGTCACGTTGATCACAGGGTAGCTGGCAGATGTGGGATACTTAGTGGTAGCTTGAAGCGGGATTTTCTGGCAAGGACCTACCCGGTTTGCAGGGTCCACGAGTCCATGATGCTCTTGATGTCATAGCTCTTGGGCAGAGATCGATACTTGTGGGCTGCCTGGGTAAGCGACTCCCAGAGGTTGTCCTGCTCAGCATTCTTGTAGGAGAACTTCTGCAGATAGGTCTGCAGGCCGGAGCGGAAGGACTCCTCGCCCAGGAACAAGTGCATCATGCGCAGCACTGTGGAGCCCTTCTGGTAGGAGATCTGATCGAAGCTCTCCGAGATCTCCGATACCATTTGGATGGGTCTCGAGATGGGATGGCTGCTTTCCAAGGCGTCCCTACGGAAAATGGTTAGCAGATTGGACAGCGACTCCTGCTCCATGGAACGCCATTCCGGATTGATATTCTCCACACCCAAACTGGCCACATACGTGGCGAATCCCTCGTTCAGCCACAGGTCGGTCCACCACTTCATGGTGACCAGGTTGCCGAACCACTGGTGGGCCAACTCATGGGCCACCACACTGGCCACCCGCTGCTTGTCCGCCAGCGAGGAGTGTGCCGCCGAGTAGAGCAGTGCGATCTCCCTGTAGGTCACCAGACCCCAGTTCTCCATGGCACCGGCACTGAAATCGGGCACGGCAATCTGATCGATCTTGGGCAGCGGGAACTTGATGCCAAAGAACTGCTCGTAGTATTGCAGCACTTTGGGCCCGAACTCCGCGGCATAGTCGCACTGATCGATGGCATTGGGCCTGGCCCAGGTCCGGAATAGGGCGCTATTGGGCAGGGTGGAGGGCTTGTGCGAGAAGTCGTTCACGGAGTAGGCAACCAGGTAGGTGGACATGGGCACCGACTCCTGGAACTCGCACCATATGTAGTCGGCGAGGGTTTCACTGAAAGAGCAAGGGTGCTGTAGTTTCTGTGGAAAGTTCTTGGAGCTGTGCGATAACTAACTGTGGCTTGGTTTCCTTCACGGGCATGTTGCTCAGACCCGTGTACTTCTTGTGATATCCCAAGGTGACCACAAAAGGAGCCTTGAAATCGGGCTCATCAAAGCAGGGGAAGGCCAATCGGGCCGAGGCGGGCTCGAACTGGGTAACGGAGATCCATCTGCAAAAGGAAGTAACCCATCAGTTTCCGGATATATTGCCTATATAAGTCTGCAGACTTGGTGAGATTGGCCACGGGATCCTTGTAGGAGCTGCGGTAGTAGCCCTCAAGTTGACGGTTCAAGTCGGCGGCGAAGGTCATGTACAACTCGTAGGTGTTGCCGGCCAAAAGTTCCTGGCAGGTGTTGAGTATGTAGAAGTCGTGGGAGGGATTCACCTTCGTGGAGGACACGCAGTTCTCCTTCTTGCCCTCACCGCCGATCTGGCGCAGAGTGATCTGGGACTCATCGATGGTCAGGTTCTTGGAGTGCAGGGTTATGTTCCTGGTGTTTTCCAGGGCCTCAATCAGGATCTTCACGGAGCCGGAAAAGCGCAGATCCTCCGGATTCTCCAACAGCGTCAGGATGCGCAGGTGGTACTTCTGCGGGCGCAGCGAAGTGGGCAGGCGGTAGTAGTTGTAGCTGGACTCGGTGGAGTCGATGGATTCGATGGAGTCGATGGAGTCGGCGGTGGCTAGTCCCAGGCCAAGGGCCGCCACGAACAGCAGAAACCACTTCATTTCCAAATCTGTGGCGGAAGGGGGTGAATCACTTATTGGCGGGGCGTTCAAGCAGAGCAAAGTAAAGCAATTAACCAAATCACTTTGGCAATCATAAACAGTGGGTATCCACTAACAGAAACGTGTTATTACTCTACTTTAATTGCAATCACAGTGCCAAATTTGAATACAAAACCTAGGCTGCGCTTTCTCTCACCCAGTTAATGGCAAACAATTCTTTTTTTAACAAAATACATTGGCAGACTGCTGTCCACTGTATAATTCGCACCGCACATTTTGCTGTTTATGCGGTTTCGCTGACTTACTTCAAATTAATGCAAATTGTTTTATTTATTATGTTTGGATCGCTATGCCCGGCACGTATTAAGGTCTGGGCCAATGAAACCCGATTGGACACTCCTCACAATTGGCATTATGAGCCGCCTACCTGATAAATGGGCATATGTGGATGATTACCAGGGGTGAATGATGATATGATATCGGAATAACTGAAGTTGAACAGCTGATGAAGTGCCGAATAAATATTGTGCCGTTAATTTCGCGCTGGAACTAAGAGAAACTGCTGTTTGTTTAAATACATGGTTATATACATTAACTAATGTTAAATATCTGTTTGCTTTTTAAGAATCTTAAAAACTCGGTTGCCTTCAAAGTTGGTTTATGATATTCCCACGCCTTCACTTCGGTTTTTGCACGTATAATACTTTTTGTTCAACGTTAAACAACTATTTTGTTAAATAAACAAGCCGTTTGAAGTACCCATTAAATAGCTTTAAGGAGTACCAGAACATCCAGAGCATAAAATCTGGTCCCGTACTGGATTAAGCAGATTGCAATTCCCTGATTTTTCTGGGCTTTTTTGGCTCCACTCTTATTTATACAAAAGTTGTTCTTTTGCTTTGCTTTCTGGGTTCTTTGGTTGCATATTAATGATTGAAAATGGGGTCAATGAACTTATAAGATTATCATATATGTATGTGCGTATAATGACCCAATGTTGATTGGGCCCACATAGGTAATATATGTAATTGATCAA